TCTTTGCTGTGGGCCTGTTCTGTGATGGAAGGACTTTTAGCCTCGCGTAAGCTGTGACCATCTTTCCCTGTTTCCTTCTATACCTTCAGGAAAGAAAAGTGTGCTTCCATGGCAGGGACAGGTTGCAGCCCAAATCCTGGTGAATTCTGGCAAAACTGGCTGGCCTTGCCTTATTTTTAGCTTAGTTCAATTTTTCAATCCAGGAGATTAAGGTGGCTTGCCTTGGTGAGGGCTGGATTTCAGATTTCAGGGAAACACCTTTCTAAGCTCTCTGCGTGTGTCCCAGACCTCCAAGCAGGCTGAGATGGGCTGGTTACTGCTCGTGTCTGAAGATCCCCTAGTGGCCAGCACAAGATGGGTGATGGACAAACAGGTCATTCATTCATTGAACACATTTATTAAGCACCAATCTGGCCCAGGTTGTTCTAGGGAAACAGCAGGGAACATGACAGAATCTCCTGGGAGGTGTGGGTGTGAGTCAGGGGAGGCCTGTTCAAGAAAGTGACATTTGAGCCAAGATCTAAAGGAGATGGGGCCAGCTATGCATATATCTGGGGGTAAATTGTTCCAAGCCAAGGGAACAGCAAGTGCAAAGGTCCTGAGGCAGGAACATGCTTGCCATGTCCAGGAACAGCAAGTTGGCCAGTGAGACATGAAGTAGGTGAGAGGGGGAGGTGAGAGGAGGTGAGCTCAGAGAGGAAGGGAGCGGGGGGGCAGATAGGGTAGGGTCTTGAAAGGATTTAGAGGGTTTTGGTTTTTACTTAAAGTGAACTGAGAAATCTCTCTAAGGTTTGTTTGTGTTTTTTTTCGGCCATGCTGCACAGCATGTGGGATCTTAGTTCCCCGACCAGGGATCGAACCCATGCCCTTTACAGTGGAAGCACAGAGCCCTAACCACTGGACCGCCAGGGAATTCCCTTTTAATTTTTGTTTTTGTTTTTGGCTGCACTGAGCAGCTTGCAGGATCCTAGTTCCCTGACCAAGGATCAAACCCGTGCCCTCAGTAGTGAAAGCATGGAGTCCTAACCACTGGACTGCCAGGGAATTCTAAGGTTTTGAATAGAGGAATTACATGACCTGATTTATATTTAAGAAAATAATTTTATTTTTAATATGTAGGACAGTCACATGCTTTGAAAGTAAAAAGATATATATATTCATATAATATAATGGAATCATATAATATAATGGAATCATACAATATGTGGCCTTTTTTTGTCTTACTTCTTTCACTGCATAATTTTTTCAAGGTTCATTCATTTTGTAGGACTTCATTCCTTTTTATGGCCATCAGCATTCCATTGGATGAATAGTCTTCATTTTGTTTACACATTCAGTTGATGAACATTTGGATTGTTTCCACCTTTGGCTGTTATAGATAGTGCTGCCATGAACATTCATGTACAGATTTTTGTGTGGACATATGTTTTTATTTCTCTTGGGTATATACCTAGAAGTGGAATTGCTGGGTCAAATGGTAACTTTAACTTTTTGAGGAATGCCAAACTGTTCTGCATGGCAGGTGTACTAGTCTACATCCCCACCAGCAATGTGTGAGTGGTCCAGTTGTTCTACCTCCTCGCCAACATTTGTTATTTTCTGTTTTTGGTTGTAACCATCCTAATGGATATGAATTGGTATCTCACTGTGGTTTTGATTTACATTTCCCTAATGACTAGTGATGTTGAGCATCTTTTCATGTGCTTATTGGCCATTTGTATATATCTTTGGAGAAATAAATCCAAATTTATTCAAATCCTTTGCCCATTTAACAATTGAGTTGTCTTTTTATTGTTGAATTGTAAAAGTTCTTGATATATTCTGGACACTAGACCCTTATCAGAGACATAGTTTGCAAATATTTTCTCTCATTCTGTTGGTTGTCTTCACTTTCTTGATAGTGTCCTTTGATGCACAAAAATGTTTTTACTTTTGATGAAGTCTATTTTATTTTTTTCTTTGTGCTTTAGGGGGTCATTATTTCCTCATTCATTTTTTATAACTTCATTTTATTCCACTGTGTGGCTGGACCATAATTCATTTAACTAGCTGTTTATTGATGGACACTTGGGTCATTTCCTATCTTTGGATGTTATAGATGGTTTACTTAATGCCATTTTTGCATGGGAAGGTAGATCTGTTGGACTCCTGAAGTGGGGTTGTTTTGACAAATGTTAACTGCTTTGTCATTTTGCTAGATCTAGATAAACCTATCGGTCGGTAGGTAGCCATTAGAATCATATTCTAATTTATACTCCCACCATCTGTGTTCAAGAGTGCCTGTTTCCCACAGTCTTGCCAACAGAGGGTAGCTAATAAAGTAGGTAAAATTAAAATTTCAGTCTTTCAGTTATACTCTGCATGTTTCAAGTGCTCAATAGTCACATGTGGCTGGTGGGTAATGAATTAGTGCAGATTTAGAACATTTCCACCATCGCAGAAAGTTCTATTGGGCAATTCTGGTAAAGAATTGTACAGTGACCTTGACTTTATATTTTAATAGGATCCTCGGGCTGCATGTGAGAGGTGGAATCAGAGACCGTCCAGAAGCAGGAGACCAGAGAGGAGGTGACTGCAATAGTCCAGGTAGGAGGGGATGGAGGGTCAGACCAGGGTGATTGTGGAGGTGGGAGAAGTGGTGGATTCTGGTTGCATTTTGAGGGTGGAGTGGCCAGGACTTGCTGGTTGATGGCATGTGGGGTGAGGGAGAGAGAAGTCGAGGATGACTCTCAGGTTTCTAGCCTGAACCACTGGAAGGATGGAGGCGCCATTGACTGAGCTGGTGAAGAACAGGTGGGAGCAGGTTTGGGGAGTGGGGGAGACCAGGAGTTCTGTTTTGGGCATGCTGTGTGTAAGGTGCAGGTTGGACGTCCCAAGCTGAGATGTCCAGTGGCTTCAAGTAGTTTTTCTGGCCTAGAGAATGACATATAATTTTGGTCATCAAGTTAGAGCAAAGTCAGAAGGGAGGGAAGAGGCAGAATTACACACCTAAGATGGGGACAAAGGCCAAGGGCAACAATGGGCAGTGGAAGGAGCCCGGCCTTTGAAGCTTGAAGTCTCACAGCTGTATTTCTGAGCTTCTGTGGGTCTATTTTCCTTCCGTGAAATGGAAAGAACAGCACTTCATAGGCTTGTTGTAAGGTTCACAGTGAGCACAGTGAGCGGTGGGGTACCTGCCAGGCAGGATACCCTGCCGAAACGTTTGTTACACTTGACTATGGGGGCGGTGGGGTGAGATCCACACCCTCACCTGACAGTCGAGGCCTTGCTGACTCTCCAGGCTTGTCTCCTGATATCTCGTGCTGTCATCCACTGCTGGGCCTTTGCCGTCACTGTACCTACTTCCTGGTGCATGAGCTCCCCAGAGAGTCAGGTGGCTGGCCCCTGACTCTCCTTCAGGTCTCTGTTCTCCAGTTCCTGCTAGCTCTGAGATGCAGGCTGCAAAGCCACCCGACCTGGACACCCCAAGGTGTCACAGTGTTGGGGGATGGAGCCCCCCATGACTTGCCTCAAATCATGTTGATCAGGATTGCTCCATTCACTTATTCACCAAATCTTTACTGAGAGCTGTTGTGGGCCGGATGCTGTGTAAGATGCTGGCCATACAGCAGTGGTCCCTACCCTCCCAGTTGCAAGAGAGACAGGCAATAAACAGGTAAAAA